GGTTTGTTTGTTATCCGGAAAGTACATTTATTTCGGAATAAAAAATATTGGCCAAGTTTAACTCGTAAAAAATTACTGTAATTTTCGGTCCCTTCAATATTCGCATTCGCAAAAGATCCGCATTGATTTTTGCGAATGCGAGAGCGAATGCGAATGTTAAAATTAATGCGGAAGCTCCGCGGTTGCGAATGAGAATGCGAATATTCGCAACAACTCTGGTATGTAGTACTAGGTTCAAGCGATCATGTTGTGATAGACATGCATGCTTCCAGACCACTATCTTGTTGCAGCCAAGATACGCACCCGACTCTGTGCAGCAAAAAATGTGCGCCCAAATATGCAACCAGAATGGGTATCAAAGGAAGGAGAAGATTCTGTAGAGTTGAAAAACATTACAATTTTTGGGACGGGTAGGTATTGAAAATACACTTTTATAATTTTATCCTCGAATATCCTTGACATTTTTCAATTCTTATTTTTGAAAAAAATTATTTGTTAAGGACTAACTTTATTAGCTTAAAAAAATTAAGTAGATTAAAGGGGCATTTTCAATTCCTATTCGTCCTTATGAACCCAAAAAAATTATTTCCTGTGGTACCCATACTTTTGTTTTCCACTGCACTGATTTTTTTTTAATAAAGTTTGGAATTAACCATATCATTGAAATTATAACGAGCCCTAACCGCCAAAATAACGTAAGTGAAATTTTTTTAAAAATTTTCGTTTTTATGCAGAAATGCATCTAGATGTCCTAGGAATATTAGCGCCACCTTGCGTATCTTTTTTTGCAAAAGTATTGCCCCTATCGTTACCAGTACATATATATCTCGGATCACAAATACGATTTTGAGTAATAACTCGACTCCAGCGCCACCTGGCGTTTTAAGTTGTGAACTTAAACTATACAGGGACCTACTCAAACACATACAAAAAATTCATTAAACCCGTTTCGATCGTTTATTAGGAGTTCACCCACCAGAATAAGTATTTTACATACTGACACTCTTCGGCATTTTTTCCATACAAAAAAAGACTATAACGCATTCGTTATACGGAGAAAATGCGCAACATCATCAGCGACAAAAATCAAATCTAAAAATCAATGCTAACTTATAACTATTTAAAACTTTCACTTTATGATACTGAAATTGTGTCAACTACAAAAGTGCATACTCAAAATTTGGTGCCATTTGATGCAAAATGAACTATATTTCTATAGAAAATTAACAATAAAATGTATTATGAAAAAGAAAAAAAACACTGTATTCTGGGTGTATGTATTTAGAGATACGTAAAAGTTTCAATATTTTTTGAAATCGCCACGCCCCCTTTTCCAGTAGCCCCGAAATCTATATACCGATTTCCAGGACACTACCACAAATACTTCCAGAGATATTCGGTATGAAAAATTCGATATGTATGGGTGATGCAGTAGGTGTCCAAAATTTCATAAAAATCGGTACAGCCGTTCTACCACCTTTTGTTTCCTTGCTAGAGGTTCTCAAATATTGCAAAAAATGCGATTTTTTGACACTTTGACCTCGTTTTTCTTAAATCTGGAGCTGATGGAAACTCTATGCTTACGGATTCGTAATCAGCACAAAAAAATCTGTCAAAAATATCGTTAACATTTGCTGCATTATATTTTTTTCATTTTTGTTGGTAATAAGCAGGGAACGGATTTTATGGAAATTTCCTTTTTTTCTGCTAAAGAGATAGAGTATATTCGATTAAGAATGTCCACGATTTAGCTTTCCCTGATTCCATATATACACATTTGAAGTTGCCTTTTTTTTTGCCTTTTTTAAGATAAGTATTTGCATTGTGGAACGATTTTCCGTCATCCCTTGTCAAATTTGGTTTGGAGACAAACCGGTTTCGGCGTTGTGCCATCTTCAGTGTCATTTTTCGTTCGAACGAAGGGATGACGGAAAATCGTTCCACAATACATCATACTCCTACCCTGTCGGAAACACAAACCACCAAAAAGAAGATATGTATTTGCCTTTTTTGCCTTTTTTAAGATATTTGCCTTTTTTGCCTTTTCTTCCTTTAAAAACGTGATTATAGCATTTACAATTTTTTTTTTTAAGATTAAAAAATATACACATGCCCATGCGGCAGGGACCTCTTGCCAAATTGGTGTTGGAAAAATTCAAAGCCGTTTTCTCAGCTAACGTAGGCTTGGAGACAATAAGGGGTGTGGAAAATACCCTTATTCCCGATAATATGAACGTTTCAAACGTTCCATATTTAAATTGGGCTCCACTTGTATCAACTTACGTCGAGCGCACATTCTTCGCGAAAATCGAAAACTTCAAAATGCATCTTGTGGTTCAATGTTACTACAACTATACAGATTAAAGTTTTATGAGTTAGAAACTCGAAAGGATAAAATAGTCAAAGATTCAAAGTATACATTTTTCATAGTTTTTCTCTTTTTACTTGTAATATAGACATTTCTAAAATAAATGTATTTTTTGATTGTTCTTCGTATTTTCTGTCTTTTTTTTAGTGCCTTATTTTGTTTTTTTTTTGCAATACCTAGTGCCTTTTCCTGCCTTTTTCGCTATTTTGTTTTGCCTTTTTTGCAATACCTAGTGCCTTTTCCTAAAAATCCGTTCCCTGGTAATAAGTATTGTTCAATAGCCAATACCCTGGTCCACCTATCACAAGAAAGTATCCTGTATGTTAATCCTGGCAATAAGCTACCTAAATGCCAAATTTCAAGCAAGTCGCACCATAAATAAGATTTTATCCAATAGATCGGTATCTGGTCCACCTATCAGAAAAAATATCCTATATGTTAACCCAGGCAATAAGCTACCTACGTGCCGAATTTCAAGCAAATCGGAGCATAACTAAGATTTTTGCGAATAGATTGGTCCCTGGTCCACCTCTCAGAAAAAAAGTATTCCATATGTTACTCCAGGCAATAAGCTACCTACTTGCCAAATTTCAAGCAAGTGGCACCATAAATAATATTTTTTCGAATAGATCGGTCCCTGGCCTACTTAACGGAAAAAATTTATCCTATATGCTAATCTAGGCAAAAGGCTACCTACGTACTAAATGCAGTTTTTCAGCGTAGCTCGATCCCTGCGCCACATATCGCAAAATTTAAAACTTTGTGCACTCCGCCTTCTAAACACCTTTCCAAAAACGTAGCAGCCATTCGAATCGGTTATGAAACATAGGAGAAAATTGTTCCCAATTGATTCATGCTCACAATAAATTTCACAACTATCCGAAATTTTCCAAGCTTCACAACGAATTTTCCACCTTTACATCGTCCAAAATCTTCAAATCATGGGATAAAATGCAAAATTTCGTCGAAAAAAATTCAAATTTTTCGCGTTCTTCCGGATTTTTCCGAGTTTTCCACTTAGAATTTTCTATTTTTCCATTCGAAAGCCATTCGGAAGGAATTGCACACAAAATTCCATTGTTCCAATTTCACAACTTTCCTGGAGGGTTTTCCCAAAATTTTATTTCGTAAGAACCTTCTCCTGGCAATTACGGACAACTAAAAACAAGTAAGAAAGTAAGTTCGGGCGGAGCCGAACATTAAATACCCGGCGCAAGTATTAAATATATGTTTTCCACCTTTCCGAAAGCTACCGCTACTTGATAAGCCGGCGTGTACAAATTTTAAGTAAACTAGCGTCCTTAAATTTCAAAATATTCAAATTTCAAGCATTTCTGAAACTTACCGTTATATGAAAAGCGACCGTAATTTTAGTCCGATTTCAACAATTTTCAATGGTTTACTTTTATGTGGCAAGCACAATAACCATACCGAGTTTGGTACAAATTGCTAGAACGGTTAGCGAGATACATATACGTGATCATAAGTGGGCGGTGCCACGCCCATTTTCCAAAATTTTATCATAAACGTATTTCCTGGCAAAGAATTGTTGCAACCATCATTTTGAATAAATTAGCTTTAATATTTACTGATTTATCGGGGATTTCGTATTTCTCGAAATTACCGTTATATGGGATGTGGGCGTGGTTATTGTCCGATTTTAAAAATTTTCGGCCATTTTGTATGCTGTACCAGGGCCAACAACTTTGCCAAGTTTGGAATAAATTGATGCAGCGGTTACCAAGATATACACATGTAACCATAAGTGGGCGTGGCTACGCCCATTTTCAAAAAAATGTTAATATTCTTATTTTTCGTCTAAAATTTATTATAAATATCAATTTTGAGTGAATTATCTTCAGTAGTTACTAAAATATCGCAGTTTTTGTATTTCTGAAAATTACCGTTATATGGGAGGTAGGCGTGGTTATTGTCCGATTTTGCCCATTTTCAATACCATCCGTCCTACGCCCGAAAGAAATACACGTACCAAGTTTCGTTAAGATATCTTAATTTTTACTCGAGTTATCGTGTGCACAGACGGACGGACAGACGGACGGACAGACAGTCACCGCTTAATCGATTTCTCTTTTCTTTCTGATCATTTATGTATACATTTGTCTATATCTATCTCGATTCGTTTTGCCTGTTACAAACAACCGTTATGTGAACAAAGTTATAATACCCTTGTGCACGAGTGCGCTCGGGTATAAAAAGGTGGCTCCTATAGCTGCATTATTACATCTATTCCGTGTGTTGCAATATCCACGGAAGCAGCAGTTATGAAGAAAATGATTTAAAAATATTAGATAAATTCTCTACTTATATGTTTAGCTTTTCTTTGTTTTATTTTTCCAACGACAAAAGCTGGACTTTTTTGTTTATACCTTAGAAGTATAGTTTATCTGTAAAAGGGGTGTAAAGGAAACATGATTGCCTATTTATATAATTGATATTCACCCCTATGCTGTAATCCGAAAGTTCGTAGTTACGAATTCGTAGCTCCGTTCCGAAAATTCGAAAATTGGTATGCTGTAATCCGATCGTAACTATCAACGGCGTTGCCATAGTGAAATTCGAAGTTCTTAATCAGCTGCTTTGGCAGAAACAAATCAAAATAAACAGAATCGCAAGTGAACAGTGAAATTAAAAAAAATTGTTTAATCGTATTTGAAAAAGCTTTTCCTTAATTAAGTAAAATAGAATGGATTCAGTGGCCGGTGCACTTTTGTCTCAGGAGGAAGAACATGCTGCAGTCAACTGTTGCATTAATATACAAAGGAGATTGCTACGAGACAGTTCTGAACCATTTAGCTTAAATGATAAAATGTAAGTTTTATAATTGATTTCACTGATACACATATAAAATAATCGTTTGAATGTTTAAAGATTTGTAAAAAATTTCCGCCTCAACAAAGACGCATTTAAAAGCGTTTTAACAATTATGGAGGAAGAGCTTGGGTGAAGTGTAAAATCATCATCGGTGACTCCTGTAAGTAGATTGATGGCAGTTTTGAGGTTTTTCGCTGAAGGAAGCTACCAACACGGTGTTGGGAAAGATTTTGATGTGGGGTTGGCGCAATCAACGTTCTCAAAAACATTGACAAAAACTTTAAACATCTTGGAACGCCGACTGTGCCCAGTATGGATTAAATTGTCAATGACGGAGGAGGAGAATAAACGAGCCAAAATGTGGTTTTACAGGAGAACGCAATTCCCTGGCGTTATTATGTGTGTGGACGGCACGCACATTAAAATACTTCCTCCTGCAGACGAACCGTATTTGTACTACAATCGTAAGGGATACTACAGCCTAAATGCAATGGTGGTAAGTAAAACCACAAGAGCAAAGTGATTTTGTACGTGCAATTTATCGTAAATTTATTAAATAGATTTGCGATAACAAGATGCAAATAAGGTAGCAGGCAGTAGCCACGACTCACATGTGTGGAATGTAAGCGCTGCAAAAACCTATTTTGAAGAGAGATATCGGCAAGGAGACAAAACAACTTGGATATTAGGTATGTTATAAGTGGAATGAGAGCAAAATGTGTTAAATATAACTAAAAATATTTTGTTTAACAGGCGATGCTGGATATCCATTACAGCCGTGGTTAATTACACCATTCCGTTCTCCTGTGGCAGGAAGTAGAGAAAGCGCCTTCAACAAAACGCACAGTAAAGCGCGCAACATAGTCGAGAGAGTCATCGGCGTTTTGAAAAATAGATTTCGATGCCTGCTAAGTGCTCGCCAACTACATTATTCGCCCCAAAAAGTGGTACAAATAATTAATGTGGTATGCGCATTGCATAACATGTGCATTCACTACAACGTAGAAGATAATACACCTGATATTATGGATGATGAATATCAAGATGTAAATGAAGATGAAGCGCCATCAGAATTTTCCAGAGAAGCGTCAGACATAAGAATGCGAATTTTGAGATCATTACCTAACTAATGAAAACAATCCCATAACTTTGTACTTCATATTTATTTGATATAAAAAATTTAAAATAAATTCAGTTCTTTACTTAAAACTAAATATACAAAAAAATCAGTTGTTTTCTTAAATCTAATAGTTTGTACATATATACAGTTATCACAAGCGTAAGTTCATCTCTTAAGTTCAGTTCTTTTCTTAAATCTAATAGGTTTATACATATATCACAAGCGTTAGTTCAGTTCTTTTCTTAAATCTAATAGTTTATACATATATACAGATATCACAAACGTTAGTTCACTTCTTTAGTTCAGTTATATTCTTAAATCTAATAGTCTTAAATCCAATAATCTTTAAATAAAAAAAATTAAAAAATCAGCAGTTCAGTGCAAAATTAAATTAAATTCAAAAATAAAGAAATCTTAAAACAAAATGTATCCATTAGTTCATTTTTGCTGGCTTCTTTCTTGTATCCGCAGTAATTTTTCCTGCAAATCAAGCTCCCTTCTTTTAAGGGCCTCCATTTCAATATTGGGCCTCTTTAATTCACGCAATTTTTCCTTCTTCATGTCATGCATGTTTTCTTGTACTTGGTACATGCGTCGCACGTTATCTGCCAGCTCGTTTGCAGACTCAGCCTGGCGTTCCAAAAAGGCCAAACTTTTTTGGTAGTAGCTTCGTTGCAAATTTATTTGCTCCTGTACCAAAGTGGCCGTGTCGTTTTTTTTTTTTCCCGGAGGGGAACGCCTCTGCACATTGGCATTGTCTGGCTCAGTTGGCATAGGAATGACTGCCGCAGGTTCCACCACCGGTTGGGTCACCGTCTGTGTTGTTACCACACCAAAAGAGACAGCTCCATTGATCCCCGATGTGGAAGTGTGCAAGCCCGTCAACTCTATCCCTTTTTCCTCCAACTCATTGAAATTGTGCATTCTGTTGGGTCCACCACCAGTTGCCCTCGTCTCTGCTTTATTGGCGGAAAGCTTTCTTTTAATGTAGCACTTATAATCGAGCCATACCTAGAAATAGTATTGATATAAGGAAAACAATGATAAATAAATTTTGTGCTCTTAAAATTTTATCCGCACCTTTTTCCAGCTGGATACATCTTTTGTCGGTGGGCCTAAGCTGTTTAGCTGCTGAGCGACGCTTTCCCAAAACTCCACTACATCCTCTTTAGCTTCTTTTGCAAAGCCGCGAGCAATGTCCGGCCTTTCGGTCATGCATTCTACCATTTTTTCGTATTGCGACCGATTTGTTGTGATCTTCGACCTGATAATTTTGTAAATATTTAACAATAATCCATTTTTTTCCAATCACACTTTAACTTACATATTTTTTCCTTTACACACTTTATTTTATTGATATTTTAAAAGAATTCGCTTCGCTCCGACACCAGTGGCTCTTCGTAGAAAATTTCCGATAAATACATACAAATTACAGCTACGTCGGATTCAGGCATACCAACATTACGAGTTTCGAAGATGGTCTCCGAATTTCGAAATTACGATATGGCAACGCGGATTACAGCATACCATTTTTAAGATTCGTAGCAAAATCGAATCTACGACGGATTACAGCATAGGGGTGATTATTAACTTGACAAAGTAACCACGCTAGGTGAAGAAAATGATGTCGGTTTTTTCACAATTACGCAAGAACTCCACACAAATTTATCTTTGATAAATACCATAGCTTTATCACTTCTAAAGTCTGCAATTTATTCAAGGTCAAAGGTCACATACATTTATTTTTTCCATTTTTCAGCAAAACGGTATGGTTTGTCACAAAAATAGGTGAGACGAAAGTGTAGATAATACCATTGGAGGTTATGAAAGCGGTGCGAATTAAAAGTAATTAGAAACAACTATTTTTCTAATTGATAATTACACTAGTTTACAAGAAATTCCACCTGTGGTACTACAACATCACTTCCGATGTGAAATTTTTCGCTAAATCTGAATATGTAGTCAAGATATAATAAAGTGCAATAGTTTTTGAGATATAGCCAAATTTCGGTTTTTAGAGATGTGAAAAGTGCACTCACTTAATTGCATATTTTATTTTCCATAGCTGGCTCTCAAATGTCTTTCTACAGTAGTGAAGCACATTAAATTAACTATCTTCCGCATAAACGACGTTTTCCAAACGGATTAGTAGTTTAGGAACTAACCATTGATTAATCGACAATTTTGCCTAATTAAAAAAATAATAATAAAAAAAGTCACTTTCGGTAAAAATTTCAAAATGAAAGAACCTGTTAACTTTTGGATTCTTGCACGTCAAAGCATAATCCTTCATTAATACAATAAAGCCCCGCTCATCTACATTGAATAACAAATTTAGAAGTTATGAGCACTTAAGTAGAGATATGTACATAAAAAAAGTTTCTATACAAATTTATGATTTGCCTATTATGGAGTACACACCTTTTACTACAATTTTGAATCGCTATATCTCAGAAATGATAATCCTTAGGAATACAAATGTTTTATAGATAACTGTATGATCTACACCAGTGATTCCCAAAGTGGTCCAGATGGACTCCCAGGGGTCCACGGAAGACTCGACGGGGGTCCATGGTGACGTGAACAAAATATGGGAGTCCATGAGTTGTAAATGGGGGTCCACAAAAATTTATCTGGTTTCGATGTAAAGAACCAAAATGGTTGCTTGATAGCCTCTTTATTTAGATTTATTTTTTTGAGTGGTTTATAGTGCTCTTGACCCACTGCTGCACTTACCGTCACTTTGTGTTTTCATACGTGGAGAAGCTTTAAAGGCCACCTGCAGACTAAAAAGAACCGGATGCTGGTATGACAATGAGTTGGGCGCGGCGAAAATTGCTGGCGGCATGAGTGAGCCGAACATTTGATGAGTTTATGGTGAAGATAATGTAAATAATGCTAGCGCTCGCAGTGCTCTTAAAAAATATAACTCTTCCGAGCGAGAGAGTATTTTGATGTATTTACGAGCTCTATTTTTTAAAACCCACAAGTGTGTAATCACATTATTTTTATAAATAGAACACAAGAAAATATTTTTTTTTTATTTTGACCACTCTGAGTTTAGTTTTTGAATTCACCCGCGATGCAAATTTACATTGTTAGATCTTATTTTCACATTTAATTTTTTTACGAGCTTTGGGAATATTTAGAAATGTATAAGCAGGGGGTCCACCTTAACCGGTAAATTTTTGAAAGGGGTCTACGAGAAAAAAAGTTTGGGAACCTCTGATCTACCCTTTCGTCTCACCTATTTTTATGATAAACCTTACCATTTTGCTGAAAAATACAAATATATATATACAAATATAGATATATATATATATAAATATATGACATCAATGTTATTGTGGCTTGTTAACATTTTATTTTTAATGTTTTTATTGAGCTTTGTACCACGATTGTTTATTAGGAAAAATTGAAAAAGCAACAAAGTCTAAGCGGTAGAAGTTATAGCACTATTTCGGAGATCACCACATCTCCTCATCAGACTTCTTTTTTTCTAGAAAATAGGGCAATCCTGAAAAGTTTTTTGAGATACGGTGTTTTCGAACTGGCTGCCGAGATAAATCGATCTCCCACTCAGCAGTCGATATGCTTCTGCATATCATCATAAATCAAAGATTTAATGCCAAATCTTAAATAATACGATTTTCGTTATCATGTATAGAACTTGTGTAAACTTTTCCTACGTAAATAAAAAAAATCGATTTTCCTGTAAAGTTAAAATTTTGTCAAATAACGTATTTTGTTTTGATGAATGCGGTATGTACATACAGTGGTGGAAAAATAAATAGGGACACGACATTTTAACAAATTTTTCCCATTTTTCTTTCGTTTATTTAATATTTATAATTTTTTTTTTATAAAAGTTTAGCTTATTATCTAACAAAAGCCATATAAACTCATTTTTAAAACTTTGTGCAAAAATTATAAAAATTCTGTATATGCGGCTAAATTTTCAACTTTTTAATCAGATTTTTTAGAATTTTTCTAAGTATGCAGTTTTATAGCCCATAGTTCCTGAAAAATTGATTTTTTATAATTTTTATTCTGAATGTATTACGCACTTTTCTCCATAATAAAATTTTTCGAACATACTTTGTATAGATGAAAACGCGTTCAAAAAATTGCCAAAAATCAAGGAAATTTTTTAGCAAATTTTTGATTAAAAAGTTGAAAATTTAGATGCACTTTCGCAGAATTTTTATAATTTTTGCACAAAGTTTGGAATATGAATTTGTTTGGTTTTTGTTATATAATGAGCTATACTTTTATAAAAAATAATAAATATTAAATTAACAAAAAAAAAGGAAAAAATTGGTCAAATGTCGTGTCCCTATTTATTTTTCGACCACTGTATGTATATTTCTTACGAATTTTTGATAAATGAACCTGTTTTTACCTTCAATAAAAGCGCGTGAACTCCTGGATATCCTGCCCATTTGAGTTGCTGTTGCAACTTTTCAACTTTATCACGAGCATCAGGACGATCAAGAGGCAAGCGATGCAGCACACGTGTTAACAAACGCACCGCCAAAAGAAATTCATATTCATAATCGCTCTCCAGGAGAGAAACAGACAGCCAAAATAATTGAGCCAGTATTGTCATTTTATCATCCTGTGTATGTATGTAAAAAATATAGAGAAGATCCTAATAAATACAGGTATATTTTTACTCAAAGTTAAAGTCTTATCACCTGTGTGGCGCTGTCACCCAACATTTTCAAGCTTTGTGCGCTGCGTGAACGTGAAAGCGCTGAACCGCCGAATTTCGCTGTATTTCTTTCCATTTCAGACATGCCCGATGCGCGATTGCGTAACTCAACTGCAAATATTCGCATATACATATGTTTGTATAACATTACATGTACATAAATATGTTTCAAATATAATACTTCTTTAAAGTAACAAATTTTCGATTGACGAAAGCCGAACTAGAAACACAGAATTTATGATATCACTTTCATGACCAAAATTATACAGATCTTTTAACTGCATTGAAAACTGACGAAAAAAATATTAAAGTTCCTTTTTTTCTGTTTATAACAGTAGATGGATCTTTACAACGTTTCGAAAAATTAAAATATTTTCGTCAAACCAATTCTCCATCCAATGCAGTTGAAACAAGTCCAAGTTCGGGCGAAGCCGAACATTAAATACCAGGCGCACGCATCAAATATTGTTTCTTCACATTTCAGAAATTTACCGTTACATAGTAAGCATTGCAAACTTCTTCGATAGTTAGACTTACGGCTCTATTCTGTACCAGTGACAAATTCTTGTAACAGTTTTTTATACGCCAAAATATTTATATGAATAAGATTAAATTTGTCAGTTACAAAAGCTTTGTCACCGATACAGAATTTGGCTATTAATGGGAAAAACTTATGTAGTCATAAATAGGCAGTGCCACGTCCATTTTTCAAATTCCAAAATAATCTTATGTCTTTTTAAGAGAGTGTTGTGAGTATTAACCTAGAGTAAATAAGCGTCCTTTCTGAAATTTACCTTTAGGCTACGGTTACTAAATATGCATTCGTATTCTGACGAATTTTTGTTTGATGATTTCGTAGCAACAAAAAAATACGCGTTTGTTTTTTGATTCGTATTTTTTTGTTCCGACGAATTCATCAGAACAAAAGTTCGTCAGAATACGCATGCATAGTAACCGTAGCCTTATGAGAAAGGAGGCGTAGTTTTAGTCCGATTTCTAACATTTTCAATGTCCTGATTTTTTGTGTCAATTAAAATAATTCTACCAAGTTTGGTACAAATTGATATAACGATTACCGAGATACACATATCGATATTTCCAAACTGGCGTTACGTGACGCTCGTACGTCAAAATTAAAAAAAAAAAAAATTGAAAATTCAAAATTTTAAAAAGGGGTTTCTAGATTTGCATAGCAATCAAATGGCCCCTTATTCAGTAAAAAAATACTACTGTTGGTAGTAGCGATTTAAACATATTAGTAAACGTTACAAAAAAAGTAGATTTTGACTTCGTTTACAAAATTGCATAACTGCGAATTGGGCAAAACTATTTGTATAAAAACTTTCGCAGTAATATTGGAAATATTTGAGGTTTATTTTCCAAGTTATGAAATGAAGAAATCGTTTCTGCTTTATGTTTAATCAGCTGAAGTATCTGACGTGATGTTACTTGGCGTTACGTTACTAAAATTTCCATTGAAAAAGTTTTGTTAATATTGTTCTTGAAAGAATTTTTAACGGGAAGAAAACATGTATTTTATATCGAACGAACTTTTTATTTTGACATCAGCGCCAGGGCCGTCGAGAGAAAACTCGGGCCCCGGACGAAAAAATCACGGGACCCTGTACATAAATTGTATTAATTTAAAAGCACTAGATAATTTTCTTTAATTTATAGAGTCAGGAAAAATCAGCGCGAATGGAAATATATTTATAATAAAAGCCTATAACGAAGGAGCAATTACATTGTAAAACAAGTAAGAGCAGCGCTGTCTTCGGCTATGCCGAAGGCTTCATACCTTTCATGAACATCTGCAAATTTTACTTTGACAGATTACTGCTTTTGAATACATCTGCATACATCGATAGAGGAGTTACATACTTATATAAAAAATCGCATCTAAACAATCAGAGGTATGGAAGATATACTTTATATGACACCAATCTAAGTGATTTTCACCGCTATGTGATCGGTATGTAAACCGGTAACACAATTTATTGGGTTTAGTTTCGTACATAAAGGAGATATATGGCAAAAACTGGTATCTTAACAATCAGTGCTATAGGAGATAAAGCTTATACAGCATAGATTTTGACGATTTTCTCAGTAGACTTTGTATTATTATTTATAAAATATCTTACGAAATTTATCGGTTTTAGCTGTTCAAATAAAGGAGTTTTACAGTAAAATCCCATATCTGAACAATCAGATATATGGAAGATATATGTTGTAGTCATCCGATCCTTGTTATTTTCACTGTAAGTATTCTGTTAATAATGAGTGAAAATGGTGCGAAATTTCATGTTCCTAGCTGCATAAATGGAGGAGTTATGATAAAAGACCTCATATCTGAACAATCAGTTGTATGGGGGCTGCAGGTTATAGTGACCCAATCTTTGTTATTTTCACTGTAAGTATTCGGTTGATAATGAGTGAAAACAGCGCGAAATTTCATGTTCCTAACTATATAAATGGAGGAGTTATAACGCAAAATTTTATATCTGAACAATCAGTTGTATGGGAGCTATAGGTTATAGTGACCCGATCTTTGTAATTTTCACTGTAAGTATTCTGTTGATAATGGGTGCAAGTATTGCAAAATTTCATGTTCGTAGCTGCATAAATGGAGAAGTTATAATGAAAAATCTCATATCTGAACAATCAGTTGTATGGGAGCTATATGTTATAGTGGTCCGATTCTTCCGGTTCCGACAAATGATTAATACATTATAAAAATACACCCACCTACCAAATTTGATCCGGATATCTCGAAAACTGAGAGACTAGATTGCATACAGACAGACAGACGGACAGACGGACATGGCTAAATCAACTCAGCTCGACGTTCTGATCATATAAGTATACATTTTCATGGGTCTATCTCTTTTTGTTCTGGTACTTACAAACATCGGACCAAAGTTATAATACCATTTCATGCTCATGAAAGGTATAAAAACGAATAACAAGTTATGGTTCTGATATATTTGTCCCCTTAACAAGCCCAGGCCCGGGAGAATTCACCCCTTCCCTCTCGACAGCCCTGATCAGCGCCACCAGCGGTATCACTTTTTGCTTATCTATGTCCTACTACGTTTCAACTAAACATGCCAAATGTGAAACAAATCTGAGCATAAATGCTTTTTTTCGAAATATCTCGAGGATTATAGGATTTTAATTTTTTTAAGCGGTCGACTTTTCACTGGATACGCCCATATATGTATATGTGGTTATAAGTAGTCGGTGTCACGCCCATTTTCCAAAATTGGCTACAAATGAATTTCTTGCCGAAGAATTATTGCAAACATCAATTTTGAATAAATTAGCTTCAGTGGTTACTGCTTTGCCGAAGATTTCTTATTTTTCTAAACTACCATTATATGAGATGTGGGCATGGTTATTGTCCCATTTTACAAATTTTTAGCCGATTGATATCAAGATCAAATACCGTGCCAAGTTTGGGAGAAATTGGTGGAGCGGTTACCAAGATATACACAAGTGGGCGGGGCTACGGCCATTTTCCACAAATTTATAATATTCTTATTTTCCGCCAAAATGTCATTGTCAACATTAATTTTGAGTGATTAAGAGTCAGTAGTTCCTAAAAATGCAGTTTTCGAATTTCCGCCAACAACCGTTATATGGGAGGTAGGCGGGGTTATTGTCCTATTTTAATCCTGCATTTATGTATGGATTTGTCTACATAAACCTATCTCGATTCCCTTAGGCTGTTACAAACATCCGTTATTTGAACGGACGGTATTCCCTTGTGCACATGTGGGTATAAAATGCGTATAATTTTCGTCACGAAATTGATATAAAGTTTGTTCCACAAGCTACTCGAAGTCACTTCGAGTTACACATACGTATTCCACAAGTAAGTTTTAGAGTTTATTTGATATGACAATTTGAGCTTTGCTCGAGTTTTTCTACAAGTAGCTTGTGGAACAAACCTATAATAAAGTTTGTGTTTTTAGTTCGGCTTTCGTAACTTAAAAATTTACTTGTCATAACTGTTTTTTGATATCAATTATTTTGGGAAAGCAAAAAATCAAGGAAAATCCAAACAACAATCCAAATGTTTTAGTTTTCTCAAATAAATTTCTAAATCTTAATGATTTATTCAAATCAAAGTTTATGTATGCACATTCATCTTTACACATTCATGTTTCTGGCATACGGGGGACGATATGTACTTGCCGATTTGTTTTACAAAAATTATTTAAAAAGCAGACGTCTCGGTTGCTCAGCTAACCGGTTAATCGTTTCTGCAATTATTTCGCATTGATTCTCTAAAACAAATTTTCGATGTATCCTTAAAATGCATAAACCTAACGGTAAATTTTATAGGAAATTAAACTAACAATTTACTAAAACTAGTAGTAACCCCCGAAATACGGGTGAGTACTTAGCTCAAAATTTATTTAAAATATTTCGTGAAAGACAACAATTAATCTTGTATTGCTAGTCACCTAATAACCCAGGATAATTTTTAAGTTCTTAAAAGACATTACTCTACTCTAAGCTTCGTGCAGTGGGCCATGAGAAAACCGTCATCTTTAAGGTATAGTCCAACCTTTCACAATATCTGGTATTAGTCTTAATATGAAACGCAATAATCATTGAAAATTGGCGCCGTTTATGGTGAAAATCCTTTAATATCACACTTTCAAACTAAAGCTTTCTTAACCCTAGAAGCCTAATATATTTGGGAGTAACGTAAAGCCTTAACATACGCCGTAGAGGCTCATGTACTTAAAGATAACCTGTGAGCTAAAATATACTTAGTCCTGCCTTATTTTTTAAAGAATATTGAAGTTGTGAGTTTGGCTAATAATAAAACATAGTTTTATTCATAAAAACTATAACCACATTTATTTAGAACAACAAAATAAAAAGTAAATTTTGTGTTAAAATTAAAAAAAGACCCATTCCATATACGCCTCGCAGACGTAGATTATACTTTTAGGGTTAACACTTTCAGTACAAAAATTCAACCACTGATTCTAAAAATTTTAAAATATGTATACCGGCTAATTTTGGATCGTTCATTTTAAAACTCACATACAAAAAGGTGTAATGCTTTGAGGTTTGCGGTCATTCAGGGTCCTCTT